TCTTGGTCGTTTCAAGCGATAAAATGTTTTCTTAATGATTTTCGGTATTTATTTGTTGAGAACAACACCTAGGATGATGTAATGAGGTGATTAGTTAATCCAGGTAAATAAATAAACACGTTTGTGGGACACTCTAGACTAACGAGGAAATAAATAATAAATTGTTGATAAATCCAATAACTGCAGATATGTGTGCATTGAGGAAGGCCGTCTGACATTCGATAAACATGGTCAAATATAACTACATACAAGGAAATGTTCATTTAGCGACGTAATTTTATACCTATTTCAGAAACGACTGGATGATTCATGACCCTACTAAGTACATTTTTTATGGCAAGCAAAACAATAACCATGGGAAGCACTACTTAGCACGCCAAGGTTATTATAAAAGAACTTGGTAATATAAGAGAAACGTGTCGGGGCTTAGAAGCACTTAGATATTAAGAGAGGAGGGTGCATTTGTAATTATCAAGTACTTTCAACTTTCACAAATTGATCCCTCAGGCTAAAAGGGTGGAGATGCAAAGGTAAAACACAATAATAATTAACAATACAAATAGCCCGCAGGTTTGTTTGCTAAACATGGCCGCTAACATTGTGATTAATAAAAATATTGATTTGGAATACAATGGTGGTATAAATACCAAGAGGTCATGAACTTTCGGAAGTCTACAATCCAATGAATACGCCACCGCATTGTTGACAATCAAGTGAAATACGGATGTAAATGAAGTCGTTTATCGTAACATTCATTTAGCGGGTTGTATGTATAAACCCTTTGTATTATAACACCTGAATTCAACCAGACATACAAACACGAGACGATTGTATCAACAAAATAACATACCACGTGTAAGCCACGATAAATAAGTTCAACTCTCATTGGATTCCAGACCTTTGGGCGGGGAGGGAAGGGGGTAACCTTGCCAAATTCATATTACCCCTCCAGAGGGCCGGGCGAAGGCAACGTGGGGCGCATAAAATGCCCGTCGCCATGACAACCAAGGGCGACAACCCTCCGCCTGCGAGCCACGCAATGTTTGTACGGAAAATTAGGAAATTCTGAAAGACATGAGCTAGGTTAAGTGGGTCTCCGGGGTGATTTAGATACTTCTGGCGTTGTTGATTATGTTTTGTCAGATGTTGCCGGGAAAGGTGGGCCTGGGAAAAGCACATTAGGGGTGGGTAATTGTAAAACGTAATTTGCCAAATATTAAGCCCATTTTTTCACGGTTTTTAGTGCACCGAGGCCTTAATAGACGCACGTTTTAGACAAACCTTATTAACACAAGTAGCAAATGAAACTGAAGCCCTTGAACAAACATGCCTGAACAAGTGCAATCTATCATAAATATTAGATAATGCTATTTATAGAGTCCAATACAAATCCGACCATGAATCACTTATTTAATTTAGGAAATGAAAGCAATTAATTTATTGAACTATAATGGGAGTATTTTGGTGCGCTGGTGTTGATTTTCAGCAAACATTTGATGGTCGAGTGGAATGCAAACGACTAAATTAATTTCATTATAGAGATTGCTCGCGTGGTGGAAATTGATGCACATTACAACGCTACATTGACTGCTCTGAGTATATAGGTACTGTTGAATGAATAAAGTAGGAAAACCAACTGCATTTGAAACTGGGTACTAAAGGCACAATATTTATGGATATTACCGGGCATTCAGTATTCAGGTATACTCATTTCCCAGATGCATCGTAAATGGTGGCTGATGACTAACAGCTGAATAATTAAACGGTATCCAATATCCTACAAAAGTAAAATACACTAAGGTACATCGCAACTCAAACGCATGACACGAGTTTCCAAAAAGGAAAAGTTTATTTTTATAAAAAATAATAATTGCCTATATATAACAGGACCAAAACACGACAGAAATACTTACTTATTTACACACTTCAATGTTGTTCGTTTCAGAACCAGCAATTAAAACTTTATTGGCTCCGTCAAGGCGGAACCCCCACAACGAATTTTATCATTTACGGTAAAGTTATACGTGAATAATAAAAATCCCGCAAATGCTAGAATTTTCAAGTCACAAGACGCAGTAAATTCTACTAGACTTGTACAAAATGTCGTAAAACCGCTGTTCATACGGGGTGGGAGCGGCGAGACTTAAGAGGAGGTTTTGGACAGGTGCCAGACGTTAAATGTTCAAATAATATGCCTTTTCATCGCATAAATTATACGCCACTTTCCAGATATTTGTTTTCATCTACAAAAGTTATACCAGGAGAGAAAATAACTGACTGACTCTTTTTATTATCACATTGAAATTGATATAAATCATAAACCTTGTCTTGCATGAGTCAGCGAGCAGCGACACATTGAATTGAAAAGTCAATTATTTCTTCGAAATGGCGTTAGTTACTTCACTCGCCGCATACATGATTACGCCACTGCATAAAGTAATTTCCTTGCTGAATTATTCACTTCATGTCAAAGTCAAAAGAAGAAAAAATTATCTTTCATTCAGTACGCAAGTGCGTTAACGGTAACGCTTCGAAGTTAAAAAAAAAAGACGCTTTATGCCACCTAAGGAGTTCTTTGAACAGTACTGACAGATAAATGACATGAATAACAAGATAGATAAAACAATAGCTGGCATCCTGAAAGAACCAAAAGGAAAATAAAGGAACTGTTAATGGTTGAGAAAACAAAGGGCTCTACGTGCGGTTAATGCAATTACAACGACCACACAAAGGGCAAGCCTAGCCCAATCGATGCGTCTAGACATCGTCCAGGCGCCATGGAGGGTAGCATTAAAAATTTCTGCACATACGGATATAATGTTCAGTTTTATGTCAACCGGGCTGTGCCGGACCGCGCCTGAATAAGTAATGGAGATAAAATGCAACATTTTAACATGAATTGTAAAATATGCGCTCGGTCTGAAACAGGAATGCAATTCCATATGAAACATGGAGACATGAAACTTAAGAGATTACTTGGATGTTTCAAAATACATGAAGTTTAGGATATAGTTCCTTACATAGACCACCATCTATTACCTCGGTTTATTATCAACATGTTCTAAATAATAATACACAATATAACGATGATAACCTGTAATTCAGCTGTTGTTATTATCACGAGCAACATTGAGCAATTTTAGGTACTCCATAATTTACACAATAGCGCTATCATGTATGGAAAATCTATTTTTAAACTCCTATTTAATCAAAACCAAAGAAATATGATTATTAGACATAAAACTTTGAAAGACCTTCTGTAATAACGGTAATGGAAACACACAATTTGAATAACAGAGGGTGAAATAAATCAAGTCTGATACGTAATTAGTTGAAAAGCATAAATTATTACTTCCATCAGAACTATTATTAATGAAGCAAAACTTGAAAGCGAAATACGCGTAGGCGGGAACATTAATACGGTTGAAATGATCCCTAAGTTCAATTCAAGGGTTCGATGGTGACATTGGGCCCGGATGAGCTCGTCCTCTCAGGGAAAGGTCAAGGCTGTAGGACCTTTGTTGAAGGACGAACGAAATGAGAAAAATGCCGATATTTCCATAACAGGTAACGAAGATTTATTGGCAGAATTCAATCATAAAGAATATAATATAATAAAGTTTCAGAATATTCGGAGTTTGTTCAAACACATGTACGGACCTAACTTTGGCTTGTTAGTTTAAAGTCTTGCGTACCGTGTGGGGCTTAAAAGTCGTCCAAGAACGGTAAGACCAACTTAAACCTAACTTGTTAACTAACAAGGAACAAGACTGTGGATCTTGGAAGCTAACTTTGTCGTACACTGCAATATTTTTCAGATTAGCTCTCTTGGTTCAAAGTAAACTTTCTTTTATGTGTGCAATTAATTTGTTTATCTTCAGGGAATTTGTTACTTTCTGAAGAAGTCAATTTCAATTGATGGAATATTACACTTCAATTATTTAAAGAAGAGGAACCAAAGGATGATTTAGAATTGATTCAGAAAAGACTTCTTCGTTTACGGTTTGAACTAAATTACAAAGACTTGCTAAATGCTTACTAAATACAGATATGAACGAAGCGCTCTTATGGGAGGTCACCCATAAAATCTTAATCCAAGTAATGAATAATTTACAGCCAAAACTAACGACAACATTTACTGCAAGTCATAACAAGGTCCTATTAATCTACTAATCGCAAGTCTAGAGATTCATGTAGCTTTCACTGTGATTAATTAACTAGATGCTGTCCAAAATGTCGCACCATGACTGATGATTATATTTCAGATTTATTGATGAAGACATAAAATGGGACTAATGGATGATGTATTATTTTATGAAGAGCGAATACAAAATCAACTTAATCATACGTCCTTTGATATTAAATTGGGTTTATTTGAGAAAAATATGGCGTTAGGTACGAGCCCAATATTAGATTTGTTCAAGCAGAGGCAATTTCATCGAGGATCACATTATGACCTAATTCCTCCATCGATAAACTGTTTATACGAGGGACCTACAGAGAAGTGTGTCGTTTATTTGCGTCATGAATGTAAACATAGTAAGATGAAAATGGTAAGAAATCTTCCATTAAGTACGGTTCAATGAATCTGATACAGAACTAATGAAATATTTGCTATACATAACAACATGATATCACATATTCTTTTAAAAGAGTACTGAAGATATCCCTTTGTAAATGAAACTCAAAACGCACTTTTTTGAAGATATTACGTTAAAACAAAATGACTTATTCTTAATGGTTAACCAGTTAGAAGCCGTAACTGGTTCATCAAGTCGTGATAATGATGTTCTAGCAGAAAACATATACCAGGAGATAAATAAAGGATAACAATATCCTGTAAAAAAATTTAAGAGTTACAAACTCATGTGAAATTATTTTTGGGACAAAAGTGTGTTTCTCTGTCGTAACCTCATAACCTAATGCTTCAGTAATTAGCAAAAATCATACAACATCATTCCTGTTAAAATAATTACACGTAAAAGAACAAGCATACTCACATTCTGTAGGCGTTCAAAGTCTTCGACATTATACAACGGTTGTAGTAGAACTAACAAATGCAATACATTCCACAGCACTAACACGAAGAAACCATTATCACACAGCTAATACTTTTCACTTGATAAACGTATAGAAAATATAGTCTAGTATAATACTGTCCACTGAAATGGTTGAAACAATATATTTAACAATGTATTCGGTCACGAAATGTTTACCAACAACCTTGGAAGGACTAAAACGCAAATCACGCAATACAAATCGATATTGGATCGAATAAATATGAATGTAAAACGTAGTATTACATGTTTAGAAATATAATCTTGGTTGTACAGATTTATAATTATTATCCCATCTGTAATTGAATGAAGTAGCGATTGAAATAGCACATGGTCTTATTGGTATCCAAACAGATCCCGTCGACTCCGTCCAAAGTCGATAAGAGTTCATTAAATCAAGGGTCAATGTTATTCAAATTATCAGAAGATATGAGACGTACTTTCATATTACGGATAATAAATTAGATACGCGAGATAATACTGACAATTAACCGATAACGCCCAAACATTAATCAGTACGTCTCGAGACAGATACTTAAAAAAAACTTTAAACAAGGTTTATTTATAGAAAACTGAGTTAATGTAACACTTGACGAAGCTACTAAACAGTCGTGTCTTCAACGAAAATTTATTGAAATCATACACTCCGTATGACGAAGCACGGAACCCACTTACAAATATTACATTATCTATCCGGGCTCAGGTCATCCACGTGTGTTTTTGGCACACGCGCACGGGAAAAATAAATATGTTGCCAATTATTGCACAATTGACGAATGAGATAGAACTATGCATTTCCCTAACGCTAGAACGAGATTGAGATACAAACTGAAGTATGAAAATAGACCGACTCCTACGCAACCGGGCAGGTCGATGTGTGTGTCGTTGATCCCTTCAGAAATCTTACTGTTTTCTTTGTTTGTTTTTATATTGCTATCAGTGTCGTCTGATGTTGATAATAAACCAAAATATTTGTAATGTTGCCAAGGACTTCGTCAAATACAACTGGGTTTTATGATTGGTTAACAATCTACGTCGCGGAGACCTAGGATTAATTACAATTATATCTACACGAAAGAAGAGAAACGTTGTCCGATGTCTTTTGATAGCTCAGAGGTTGTTACAATTTAAGAAGGACAATATTTGGAACCAGAGTAACCAGTTTATTTAAAGTGCCTACGTTTTTAGAATACGACGCAATGCGTATATTCCAATATTCAATAAACATAAATCAAATACATTACTTAGTTCCAAAAGTATAAAATGGACAACCATTTAAGTTTTGAACAAAAGATTTTTGGTAGTTAATTTGGTTGAAAGCTTCCTCAGCTTAGTCCTTAATCACTTAACATTAAATGGAGGAAAAAACTGTTTAGGCACTGTAAACGTTGACAAATTGTTGATAATTCAAATAATTATTCATAAGTCCAGAATTCATAACTTCATTATTATGGACATTACTTAGGGATTTACGAATTTTGGAGAACCTCTTACTATCATACAATGTAAAGCTAATAATGCTGACAAAATTCTTGTCCTACATATTATTAAAGGGAAGGCAAAATGATGAACATAAGAAAGTTGAGTAAAATTACTCTTGAGCTCAGCATTATGAGGTTCTTTTGGCACAAAGGACACAGCCTGGTGAGCCAAACGTCTTTCGGATGGCCACAATGAAAACACAGCTTGTCCTGATTTAAATATTGATCGTGTTAAAACAAGGACATGTACTAAATAAGATTTGAAGCAATTCTTTTTTTGTTGCATCATCAATAAGAAGCTTGTAAAAAATAATTAGGTGGTTGTAACATTTTTGCTATAAAAGGCTAGTTTAGGTGAAAATATTCAGAAGAAAACGGTTGTCTTCATTCGTGAAGTAAAGGTATCTCTTAAATTGAACGTTCAGAACGCTTGGCTAAGTGTGGCGATGCGTTATTTGATCATCTAACGAGCATTGCATAGCTACCGGCCGTTCTACCGACGATTCCGGTAACATAAGTACTTCTCCTTAACCGTACACTCCATATAGTAACAACTTCGTTTAGTAAATCAATTATAACAGAAAATACGCAATTTTTAACGTTAAAATGACGTTGATTTATTTATATGAGTTTAATTTTCTTGTAGAAGATGAGTCAAGTTCTTAGGCTAAATGAGTTCTTAATGTACCTACTCACATTGCAGCTAATTGCCTCGACGAAGCGATTCAAGAGTCTATAGTTTGACTTCGGTAGAAAAATACAAAGAGCAAACATTGAGAGAAGCATTGCTTTGTGCAGGCGTTGCTTTAACGAAACGCCGTTTGTGGACTTAACATTATTGAAAAGATATGAAGGCGCTCACTGAAGTAGTACACAACCAAAGTATTTCAATTTCAAATTGCAACGTTCAATACTCGTCTTTGCATCCACGAATTCATTCCAAAAAGGAATCTAGAAACGGTATTTTACATGTCCAAGCGTGTAGTCTTCAAGTTTTATCGTAGCTCAGTGAGCTCCCAGGGGGAGTATCTTGAGGAATATGTATAAAGCGTCTTTGAAAAGTTCCCTGAAAAAGGATCGCTATGACGGCATGAATTCAAATGAGGATCGATATCGCATCGGGAATCAGTAATCAAGTTATTGTGTGGTGATAAGTTTAAAATATTACAATACGATGTCTTACTCGAATTTGTCTGGTATAAAAATGGATACCTAAAGTCTAGAATAAAGAGAACTCTTACGACTCAAATGCCTTTGTACTCCGCAAGGCAGCCTTGGGACTTGACATCAAAGAGTTTCTAACCCAAGAATCAAAAGCTTTTAGAGATCCACTAAGAATCTTTTGTAGGATTAGTCTGGTAAAACCACACTTTATAAGATTAAATACTGTAGAAGATACACAAAGAGTAACAAAGCAAGAAGTGCTTTCATTGTGAGAGATAAACGGTACCTACAGGAATAAATAAATAACCCCATCGTAACTGTATCAAAGAGGACGTTTGACGACACATGTTTGCAATCATGTATCTAAAAGAGTCAGCTAAAAATAGGTCAACGACTGGTCGCGAATCATCTCGGCATCTCAGCATTATCTCCACAAATTAACCAATTCGTCCGAATGATAACGGACAGACAGATAGCCACAGACAGAACATCCTTGGGACTTCAACAAAACTTTCTAATGGTCAGTCTGGTTTGCTAGCGACATTAAACTGCTGAAGAAATATTATAGAGCATTAGTGCGTACGAGTCATATATTAACCTTTTAACCGTCATTTGGTTAAAGTACCTGTTTTACGAAATACAGTTTTTTTTTCGAAATGGGAACGATTTTTACCTTTTTTTGCTATGAAAATGGATTGAACTCGATTACTCAAAAAGTACAATAACAAACTCAGTGATAAAAGTATTCTATTTGACCTGAAATATTTGTCAAGATTCTTATCAAAATATTTCGCCTATAAACCATGTTGGGTTCTGATAAACCTGTTGATGTTTATCCAATAAAATATTCGATAGCAAAAGGAATGATAGAAAATGTTATGAACCAATTACTTATTAAAGATGCAGACAATCTCACTGTTGATAGGAATTTTAATTACATTGTGGTAGAAAACTGATTTTCTATTCCGATTAAATCTGAGTGGCGGACATTTTATTAATTGAGTCATACCTATCTATTGTATCTTAATCATTTACAATTTGTACAGATCATATTATGCAGATACCATCTAAGAAGTCTGCTGTACTTCTAATATTTTAACTGAAATATTTCGATGTAATTTTGAATGCAATGCAGCGGTGAAAATATAACGTACAAGCACGTAATGCATAAAACATACAATATACAGTTATTAACATGCGATTTCAGTTTTTTGTACAAATTCAGTATCTAAACGACCGGCAAGCGTAAATAACCGCTTTGCAATTGGAAAAAAGGGATAAAAACATTCGATGAAAGTTGCTCAAATTCCTGACGCATTCGTAATAATCCTTCCAAGGTACTGAATAAACATAGATATCACTGACACTGATAATTGTAATAGAAAACTGAGGACGGTTCCGTGGGACGCGTGAATATTTTTGGAAAATGGTTTATAATAATGCCGGCACGTTGTCGAGCGTCGCGACGTCCGTTCGCGTCGGTCGCTCCTTGCGTACTAAACTAAATCGACTCACGGCCGAGTATAGTGTGGCGCACGCAGCTAGGCGCCTCGATTAGCATTATCGAGTCGATAGATGTGTAGAAAAATAATGACAATTGTATTACCATGGATGGACTGTTAAAATAATGAACTTTTATCACACGCGCTAAAGACCCGTAGGCAGCGGCGTACGTAATTTATTACGCAGAGACTACGGTTAATTAATCACAAGTACTTTTTTCATTAACGTTTCGTTTCATGGCTGATTTTACGCCATTATATTACAGAAGTAAACATCAAAACCATAATCTCATTGCAATAGTCTAGTTTTATATTCTACTACGTCACTTTTCAAACTAACACGACCTCTGATAGTAAATCTTTTACCAGATCAAAAATTATTGTCAATGAAAACGAAATAAAAATAATTCTCGTTTTTCGAGCTATTGCACCGCCCTAAAGTTTTCCAATCGTGTTAGCTGGGGTGGCCACCCCTACCCCCGCCCTCCTCACTACAAGCGCATTTTGTGCAAGTTACGCGTATGCAGTGACGCACACACGCGCAATACACAGGGTTACCATGAATCATGGTCAATGTACTGATAAAAAATTAGGGGAAGCTCCTAATAACAGTGATGTCACTTTTGATGGTTTATCTTTTACTTTAGTAATGTTACTATAATAATATAACAAAGAAAGATATGTATCTTATTGCAATAAACATGTCAAGAGTTAAAGATCAACATTATAGGTAACCTGAAACCAATTAATTAAGCTGATATGCATTGTTAATTTAGACGGAACACCAAACTTGGTTGGGGTAGGTTTAATGAACAGAATCAAGCGTCTACACATTGAAATTACTGGCATATTAATGAGGATAGTATATCACTGCTATCCTGTCGGACCACAGGGCCATTAGTTACTGTGTCTCCACAAGGCTCCCTCAATAAGATAGATGAAACGGGAGCGGGATGCGGAGACCTTCAAATGAAAAGTTACATAATGCTTGCAAGGTCAGGCGAATCAATACGCAGACGCCAAATTGTCTGGCAAGTAAACAAAGAGCGAACGCACGCATAGCCGAGATAACAACAATGAATTGCGTCTTCAGCTTATCTCATGGTAAATGAGTCTGCAAGGACTAAGTTTGCAATTAAAGCTTTAGAAATACTATTGGTTTACCCGAGAGGCAGTTGAAACCAGACTTATACTATGGTCAAGAATAAAGTCTGCAATGTATTGACAGAATTACAAATCTAATCAATTAATGATTTCGGATATTTTATGAAGACCCAAGATTAAGTAACAAATTTAATAGCCTTATTCCATCGATTCTGATGAGTAATAACTTGAGACGTGGTTGATTAAGAAGAGCTAAACCTAATCGACTTTAAACCTAATCCACGTTGCATAAGGTAGCAATTAGCAAGTCTATAACAAGGTCAAACTCGGTAGCAGCTAAGTCATGCCTCACTCTCGTGAATTACTTCTCAATTTAAATCAACTCGAAAGTGTTAGAAACTCAATCAAAGTGAGATTATTAGAATTAATAACTCTCGGAAAGATTAAGGTCTAAATGAATTTAATCTCTAATAATAACGGGGTTACAGTGTGGTTTTCCGTGTTTCCTGGTCACATATTTTCTGACTCTTAGGTAACATTGAAATTTTTAATCCGTTTGCTAATTTGCCTTTATTCTATAAAAAAACTGTAACACTTTATGGGATCAAACCAGTAACACCCTCCTAGATTTTTTCGATATGTGTAATGGTTTAAATAAAAATACTAAATTTCAAGTCACTATTACAATATAAATTAACAGTAATTTTAGGTGACAATGCATGTTAATAAAGTAAGTACACGCGTAAACAAAAATGCTATTTAAAGAAATAAACATTTCAGTAGAAAATGAGTTTTATACTATCGTGAAGCTAGATGACAGAGATAGGATGGTCACCCCGTGCGGTCGGCAGCACTTGCGTGCATTTACCGCGGTCGTTGGATATTATACCTCTACCAATTTCTACGTAAACTCCACCGAACGTTTTATTGTTTCTTTTACCTAACGGTACCGTATATGGTACTATACTGCTGAGGGACGTAATTAACTAGTATTTTTAAAAGTGTTCACTGATTGATTTGCTTTTAAATGTGGTAGGACCCAGCATCGAACCTTGCGGCAACCCTAGAAAATAATGCTATAAAAACATTTATAGTCGTAATCAAAGAATTCACTTTGCACAACAAGTAACAACCGTTCATATGTACATTCTACAGTACGCTGATTATGTAGAGCGGGTAAAAATCATAAAATATAACGTCGAAAGTATAATAATCATAATTACTTCAATATACGGTTCAGGCTAAATAATGTTAATTTAGTACCTCATTTAGCAGTAGAAGTGTGATAGCTAAGTGGATATGGATAAAAGAAGAGAGAAATTTACTAACACACAAGAAACGAAAAACAAAAAAAATAATAAACCCCTTTTTGTGAATAATCTAGAACAGTCAGTCATGTTACATTAATTTCAGCAAGCAAAACTTTCGGTAAAAATATACAATATCGCAAGTGTACACGGCAACAAAGGGAGAATTTAATGAATTCCTAGCGTGCCTTACAAGCAAAGAAAATATTGTTCTGAATATTATAAACGAAAGGAAATTAGGGCTATAGCCCTTGTATCCGGTGTTTGCAAATACTTAACGAGAAAATTCGTAGCTACGTCGGGAACGATTTATTTAAAATGAGAACACCGTTTTCGTTTTAGATCATAAATTTAAGGTCTTACTTTAAGCCCTCGAAAATATTTCATTACTTCAATACTGAAAGCTGCTTACGCTCGGAAAAAGTAGTTCTATTTATTGAAGCTAAGAGGGGCTTATTAGGTTTGAGTTTAGAACTGCACTATTTTGATATTATACAACTCTGTCAACATCTTATAACAAACAACAAGCTCAATACTTTCTTTCTAAGAGAAACGTTCTACTTTAATTTAGCAGTAAACACTGCCGTCAGTGTTAATAACTACAACAATGGCTCTAAGAACTTGCAAACTTTGTAACACGCTTAGCTCATCGAAAACCTTCTTTCAGCCAATCAAGACCAATGATTGGCGATTACACAACTACAAACAAAGGCAACGATAGTTTTAATTAAAAACAGTTGATTAAAATTGCCACGTTACTGGGTGAACTTTCACGGTGACGTAATGGAACCTATCTACTTATGTAATGGGTAAGGGAGTGAAGATAACAGATGCTTTGTATTACAGCCTGGAGGCATCTGCTGATACGTAGCTAATTAAATTGGAGGCGATTCTGAACTCTGATTGGGTTTTACCCCTATTACAACTGAGCTAGTCATTGGCACTACCAACAGCTAATCTTTTCTCTTCAACCGATAAATTATTGTTTTGGATCGGTATAATATGTCTCACTTTATTTCGTCTATACAGAAATTGATTATTGTGTCATTCCAAGATCGCTTTCTTCCGATATTGACTCAGCCGAAAAATTGATGTAATAAGTAAGGGATGATTCGTAGCTTAGTGTTCACGCACTGTCTGTTGAAATGATAACAAACATTAGTCGAAAGTAAGACAGAGTGATAGAATAAGAATGAAGCGGACGTTGAAGAAAAGGCGGACACAGTCTCTTGAAACAACGACTGTGGCACCTGGTTACTATAGACTTACACGCAGAGCATACATACATTGACACGAAGGACATCTGCAATTTTCTTAAGTCTGGAGACGTGGTAACCCATTACCACACGCACACATAAATAACCCACTGACATTTTTTCTGCTTCTATCATTTTTAAGCGCTTTTTTTTCAAAGCCTTGGTTCGAATATCATTGTAAATTTTCCTATTGTACAATTTGAATTTGATTCATATTTTCTTACTAAACAAATCTCTATCATAGTTTATCTTATCTTTTGGATAATATTTATCCTTAACCTACAAATATTTGACAGATTCTCTTAGTAGCCCTCTTTAAAGAATACATTGTAGAAGAGTTCCTATTTTTAAAACAATGAGTAATAAATGCGTAACTACAATAAATAATGTTGTATAATCAGTCTGTTAGTAGCCTATGAGGTATAAATACATGTTGTGTAGCCAATTAATGATCGACGTTATGTTTAAGGATGATGATTGATGATCCACGTGGATATTTAATCGTTCATAATATTATGTAACTAAAAAGACCATTGCAAAGTTATTGTAGAATATGGTTGTTTCTACATATTATCTCGAAGTAATTTAACCCGATTTTCTGAACGCGAGAGTCCACTATATTTGACGAGCCTCTCAGTATAATACCGGGCTTCAATTCAGACCCAGTAAACCAACTAAGGATGATCACAAAAAAGAGGAACATACAAAAAGGTGCAATTCGCGTGCACGAGTCGCGCTTGCGTCGCACTAACTAGGTAGTCAGTAGTTAGTTGGCCAGTAACATGAAAATTACATTATAACAGTTATTGTTTTGTAACTACACTGCAACGCTGACATCATACCTTGAAACCGTTACCCAAATAAAATGTATCAAACTAATTGTCAGTCCGAATGTCACAAAGTAGCAATTTTAGGAACACAATCAACTAACTTTTTCGTCAAATGAGTCACATCATTGACTTTATACAGACAATGGGAGTTCTGTTTGAATTTCAAAGGGTGTATTATGTCAAAGGAGTTATAAATATACTGATAAAATGTGTTCAAAGAACAGCCCTAATTAAATACTTATTTCGTATAGGTACTTACTCTACCAGCCACTAGATAGAAGAATCAGTTTCTTTTCGTCGTTTTCGGGATCAGAAAGAAAGAAAATACACTATATGTGTACATATTAAGTAAAACACAAGACAAAAAGCATTTATCTGATCCTAAGTAATTGAATAAACAAAAAAGCAGCTTTTTGGTACAAATACATTCAAGTAAGAAGAAAATTGAAACAAATAAGATTTCGAAATAGACAAAAGTAATCAGATATTC